CCATCTCACCTGTTGGTACCCCGCCTCACATACTGGCCCCCACCTCACCTGTTGATACCCCGCCTCGACTGCCAGCCCCCCCCCCCCTCACCTGTTGGTACCCCATCTCCCTGCGGACGGACACCACGGCCTCATCGTAGCGACCCAGGCGCACCATCAGCCGGGACTGTCTTCGAGGTGTAGTTGGCTGGCGGCAAGAGCAGGGTTATCGCGTTTAGCCCGTTTCGTCGGTTAAACCCCCCGCCCCACGCGCTGTCGAAACAAATTTCCGTCACGTCTACACCAACCTCCTTCGCTTCGTGAGAACCCCAGGGGAGGAAACGGAGAGTGTTGGAAGATTATCACGGCGTAAGTACCACGGCAAAAAACTCCTGCCGACAGATGTGTTACGTTAGTTATACACGCTATTACATCTAAAAGATTATGCAGCCTTTTACTTGTGCGCGACATCACCTCCATGCAAAGACACACATGACGTGAGTGCTACACCCACAACACCTTCTGCCGTAAAAAATATACCCGGCTATTACTGACACAGCAAAGACCTATCCGGCCATTGCTTCTATGCGACATTACTTACCACTGCAACGAGCTATAGCAGATGATATTAGTGGTACACAACAAAACTTGAAGTTATACAATATTTTATTTTAAAAAAGTATATGTCCATCTGTCTCTACTGTAAAAAACTATGTAGTCTTGACTTGTCAGCGATTTTACTTCTTCTTTGGCCCATAGTTATGTGAAATTTGTGCAAAAACGTGGTAAATACAAATAAGGTGGCAATATAAGAAACAGCTTTTCGATTATCGTAACTAACGCCTTATCTGTATAAATAAACAGCTTTTCGTATTGACATAACATACATTTAGTTGCAGTATTGTCCAGTTGAGGTTCCTTCCTAACCTGTGAATTGTTCCTACACCCGCTGTTAGATGTCCACAGCATGCTGTGGCTTCACGCGAGCATCAGTAGAAGAAGTAGTGCTACGCACCACCCTTAATATTATACGAGTTCTTGCAAATAAATCTAATGACAATTAATAGATTTGCAAGCGGACACGTTTTGTCGCGTAGCACTTATATTGCGTTTAAGTCTTTTGCAGTAAAAGGTAACGGGACATTACACATCTGTGAAGCCTAGCTTTTGGTCGTGTAGGTACTCAACCGTGTGGACGTCTTTACGGTAGAATAAATGCCGTAAATAAGCAATGGTTGTGCAAGTCCTTGCAGTGGGTATAATGATGGGTATGAGTATTGAAAGTATATAAGTGTCGTCGTATAGCATTGATCTTGCGTACAAGTTTTTGCAGTAAAAATAATGTCGTGCATAATTTCTGAATGTATAAGCGTTCGCAGTAGAAAACATGACGAGTATACATTTGTGCAGCATAAGTTTTGTCGCATAGCAGGTAATGTTGAGTATCAATATTGACAGTGAAAGTGATGTTATAACCCATGTCGCAGAAGCAGTTTCTGTTGTGACACTTTGTTATGGAATCGCATTAGAAGTCGCATATAGGTAGGATAATACTGCACACGAGGACATGAAGGAAAAATCCGCTGACCAGAGCCACCCGGCAGCGAGTCAGTGGGTAAACCATGAACGCCGGGTTATATCAACCAGTGCACCAATCGGAAGGGTCAGGACGACCACAGGACACTTCTGAATGGCGATGGTGTAGCAACATCACACCATGCCAAGAGGGCACTGACCTGCTGTACATCACAGGCGGGAAAGGGGGTGCACGACACCACTGCCGGGAAAAATGACTTCACCGGCGGAACCATCCAATGAAAGGATAATTAGGACTAGTGGCATAACGTCACTGGAGGGCAGTTAGACTCAGTGGAACGGCACAGCCAGGGAGCACAGTTGGGTCCCCAGCATTGCACCGTCAGGAGGGGAGAGTTTGGCCTACCAGCGAAACAGGGAAGGACAGTTGGACCCATCCGCCCAACATGGCCGAGAAAGGATAGACCCTGGCGCTACCTTGCTGCGCAAAGAACAGTTGGACGCACCATCACTGCACCGTCCGGGAGAGGGGGGGGGGGGGGGAGTCGAACCCACCGGCGGTGCGCGGCCGGTCCTCCAGCATGACCACATCGGTGGCGCGCTGGTACAGCGGCACAGCATCGGCCGGCCTCGACGTCTCCAGAATCTTGGCCGACTTCTCCAGACATTGCGCCGCCGACTGGACTGCCGTGTTGCTGGAACGGCGCTCCCGTCAGCGCGCGCGGGCGGCCGCGCAGCTGACAAGTCCGAACGGGTCACGTGAGGAGGCCGCGCAGCTCAGACAGTCCGAACGGGTCACGTGAGGAGGCGCGCGGCTCAGACACGTCCGACGGGTAACGTGAGGAGGCCTGCGCGGCTCAGACACGTCCGCACGGGTAACGTGAGGAGGCTGCGCGGCTCAGACACGTCCGCACGGGTAACGTGAGGAGGCTGCGCGGCTCAGACACGTCCGGACGGGTAACGTGAGGAGGCGCGCGGCTCAGACACGTCCGCACGGGTAACGTGAGGAGGCCGCGCGGCTCTCAGACACGTCCGAACGGGTAACGTGAGGAGGCCGCGCGGCTCAGACACGTCCGGACGGGTAACGTGAGGAGGCCGCGCGGACACAATCAGCAAATCCGCATCGATGTCACCCAGCCCAGCACGGAGACGGCGTCTTCTGCGCGCATAGCATACTCCCGACCGTCTGAATATGTGTGCTCAGGACGGCCGGCGCAGACCGCAGGCTCGCATCTCACCGCACCCGAACTCCGCACCGCCAACGAACACCGCCAAACCAGACCAGCATCTGCCCACCGGAACACGCACCCGAACCCAGCACCGCCCACCGGAACACCGCCACCCGAACCCAGCACCGCCCACCGGAACACCGCACCAGAACCCAGCATCGCCCACCGGAACACCATACCCGAACCACAGCACGCCCACCGAATCACCGCACCCGAACAACCACCGCCCACCCGAACCCAGCACCGCCCATCGGAACACCGCACCCAAAACCTGCACCGCCAACCGGATCACCGCACCAGAACCCAGCACCGCCCACCGGAACACCGCACCCGAACCCAGCACCGCCCACCGGAACACCGCACCCGAACCCAGCACCGCCCAATGGATCGTGTGCACCCCAGCGCGTGGTTCGCGTTTCCCACCTGGAAGAGTTTGGCGGCGCGCTCGCATAGCGTGATGACGGTGGGCAGGTCGGCCAGCTCCTTGCTCATCAGCACGCCCTGCTCGTAGCACTTGGCCGCAGCGAACAGCGACCCGTTCTGCTCGTGGCAGTTGGCGGCCTTTGCGAGGCAGTCGCGGCACTCGGCGTGGGCGCGCACCGTCTTGTAGCAGTGGCTGCGCGGGCAACAGGTCAGACCCACGTGACGCCGCCGCCCAGGCGCCAACCGGCCAGCTGACGGTGCGTCAGCTCGGGACGCCCCACTCTCGGGCATCCAGTCGGAGCACATACCCGGCTGCAGATTCATAGTGATGGCTACATGTTTTGTAATTGTCCACGATGAACGTGCCGTTCTTAAGTAGCACACCGTCTGGTGCAAAGGGGCGCTGCACTAGGCACAGCACCCAACGGTCCAGTCATCAGCCGGGCGGAGCCGACAGCTGCACAGCAGCAGATCTAAGCGCATGTACTCAAGAAACAAGTCAGGAGCGGCGTCATTAGCTGGTGCTTGGAGCTATTAACGTACGTCGCGCTTACATATGTACGTCGGGTGGCGATCAATGAAAACAGTCTGACGCAATATAGATAAGCCAGCGGGCATCGAGAGTTGTTCGCAGTACGAGGCCACCTTCACTGGGTGGAATGCCGCACTTCAAGCCAGTGATCAGCACGACTAAACATCGCGAATTTGACAGGGCCAGAGCCTTTCCAAGGAGCCTTTCCCAGGAATACGACCTGGCGGTAACTGATCAACTTATCAGTAAACGCACATCCAGGCTCTTGAACAAAATCAGATGCATGGCTATGCTTTCACATTCCGTTCACCATTCGCGCACATCATTATGGGTTTTTGTGCATGATTGGGTAAACCCTATGAGTAACAATGTGACACATTGATCGGCGATATAGCTCTCGCACAGAGCTCCAAAGTAATGGGTCTTTTTAAAGCATGCACTTCACATGATGCATGGCCAAGCAGGCACCTATTGATGATGATGATGATGATGGTGATAATGATAAAGGCTTGTTGACCACATAGGTCATGTGGCACCTGCAGGTGTCTATTGACACTGGAAAAAGATTGTCAAGAGGTGGTTGAAACTCAAGATGTTTGTCAATTTCCATACCATTTTGAATGGTTGCAACTTTCAGTGATGGCAGCAGACTCTAATTCAACACACACATGAACAGATGATGCAACAAAGCCTTCATCACAAAAGAAGCAATCCAAAATCAACAGATTGAGCTGTGAGCTGTCACAATGGCAGGACAGCTTAGTGTGATCTGCACATGGCAGCAATGCAAAGGATATGCACAACAGATACTTGGTTTATGGTTGTCATGCTTCTCTATTCAATTCTGTGTCAGATGACTGCATTGCACACAGCTATTCATATTCATGACTGGAGTTGAGGCATAAATAAAACTGCCTAACAAATTAGTCACATATATGTGGAACAGCATGGTGGAGCCAGCCAATGATGGCTGAGGAGTTCACAAACTCACAATAAATATCAGGTTGGAAACAATAGCAGCAGGCCCAATAACATACTAGAGCGAGTCCTGTTTTGTTTTTGTTATCTGGTTTTGACAGATTGTCTGCAATGGAAGACCCTATCTAAATATGCAAATCAAATTATTAAGAAAGGTTGCAAATCAGACAACATATGGTCATGCACATGTTTCTTAGTCAACAACTAGTGTAAGCAGGTAGGTAAGTTCACAGATGTTTTGTGTGGAACATATAATATATACTCACCTGCTTTGTTGTATTCATCTGCAGCTGAGTCTAGATCTGGCTTCCATTTAAAAATGATGTTTTCAGGCTGAACAACAAAGCATATGCATTACAAACAAGCACCACCTACACATTAAGATGAAATAAATAATATGCACAGTAAAAAGTTTCCTAAGCTGTGACATGAATAAATACACCACAATGCTAATGGTAGACCAAATAAAGGTTTATTGAAAATACTTTGAATAAGCAACTGCTATATACATACACTCATCAAATGTTATTGTGTGATGCAAGTTATAGCCATGATGTGTGACTAATAGACATTCAAGCAAACACACCCTCATATTACAGTTATCAAGAAACACATCTAGTAACCCTGGATGTGCTTTACATTATAGCTAGACTGCTTACTATTTTTCAGCTTCCTTTATGTGTGCCAAGGCTTCTTCTTTCTTACTTGACATGATTCAATGCTGGAAAGGACCAAAAAATTAGCTGACTCAACAGCACATTCCAATGGCCAAGGAGAGCAGCCAAGCTCTTCCAATATGACATCATTTTGACAACACCCCATCAATGCTGCAGCACAAGGTTCAGCATGCACAAGGGTTTTCATAGTATAGAGAGCACAGTACATGGAAATGCTCAAGAAAGCAGAATAAAGTTCAAATAAACATGCTTAAACTAACAGTCATGCAGTTATTATTGTGGCCAGTATTGGTAACAGGTATGTAACAGGAGAAGTAATACTATATGATAGCAATATTGCTTTAAGAAGCACAAAACACACCTAATTAAAATGCTAGCAATACTGATGCACATACATGAGCTGTTCGAAAACACCACAATGTGTGTGGGCTTGAGGCTGTTCTGCTCATGTTAATGTAACTGCGTCATGCTTGAGGGCTCCAAAAACACATCACATCCATTTGATTAGGATGTACTAGGGCCATGCAACATTTGCCCATAATGATTATGAAGCACCTAATGTTTTAACAGAAGCAAGCTATGGCTGCCTGTGAATGTTCAGTACTATCTCAAACCATCCATATCAATCAGCATAGTGTATTGAGCTCACCTTCAGTTACCAAATAAATATGCACAGCTGCCAAATAGGTATCACCTTCATGCACACCCACTAAATGAAAGCTGATCCTCAAACACCATTACTTCAATCATAGTGCAATGAAATAAGGATCATTGTGGTTTCAGACCTCATGACTGCCCAGGCACCTTTGAGCCCATCCTACAAAAATAATATGCTGTGCCAAGATGCCTACAGTCTTAAAGCCCTGAACCTTGAGTTCAACTGTGCAAAACTCAAGCCAGGATGCATCCCACTGATTTTTTTTTTTGGTTTACCTCAGCACAAGAATTTGGCATTACATTTCTGTAAAATCTCATTTCTCAGCATTAATAATTGCTTGAAAAATTGGCTTTCTATGCACTAAAATTGGCAGAACTGTGCATCAAATGCAAGCAAATAAAGTGTGTGTATACCCTTGCTGTGACATCTCTGCTATGCCCATTCCAACATCTTGATGTCTCTGCTGTACCATACATGTTCAGAATAACCGTCTTTGCAGTCTAAATAATTTTGAGAGTGGGTACCTTTAATTAATGTCATGCAACAAATATAGCTCAGTGTCATAGCACTGTAGGGATGGAGGCATTGAAGCTTGAAGCGCCTTGTGCTGCTCATGCTCAACTAGCCAAGCAAGCTATACTTGTCATTTTATATGGCCATTGGCCACTCCTTCATGTTCCCAAGGATAGCTGCCCAGATCCAAGAGTTTTGATGTTCCTTCAATATAATAAGGGTAGAAGAAACAAGCTCGATGCCATGCACTTCGTTTATTTAGGGAGATGCATCTTTCCACCGAGCAGGAAACTACTGACAAATATTCACCTCGCACGTTACATCTCACCCAAAAATTCCAGCAAACCCCATTCAATTGCAAACTCACACGTCAAAACGCTCTCGACGAGAAGCCAGCTGATACCTAACCGAACGCAATGCGCTCATGGGTCTGACAGACAGGTCCCCGCAATTAACCTGCCTCGCCTAAGACTCAGTTTTATTGATCAAGTGCTGACAGCTGGCCTGGCCTGTGGGCGATCTGATGCCATTCTGCAGTATTTTGTCGAGTATGCGCAGTTTTGAAAAGCATACAATACTGCTACCAGACCGAAGATTTTGGGCACATGATATGGCTGCATACTACAGAAAATATGCGAAAAAGGAGGACTGACGGTGAAGAGAGGCCCAAGGGACACCGGGACGACGATGCGTTGGTCAAAAGGCCGATAAAAGACGGGGTAAACGCGTCGAACATCTCTCCCTTCTCTGCCGTCTCCCCATATACAGCATGCTCTTTCCCCGTGACGGTGTGTCGACGTCCACGAAGTTGCAGTTATGTATCGGATTGTTCCGGGTGTTAGTTCTGATCACGATGCAAAGCGCTACGCTACTCATTAAGGCACAGCAACACCGAACCTCTGGACTTCTTTTTTTCATTATCCCGTGACCTTCAAAGGCAACATTTAATGTCAAACAACCAGGGAGCTCCATATCATCCAAAAGTATCGGCTGATTTCGCAGTTTTGGGGATCAGAATTACGTTCAGCACACAAACTCGGCCGCTCTTTGACATCAACTGCAAGGCAAATGACGTGTAACTCCACATCGCGCGAAGTTACCGACCGATTTCGCATTTTCAGGCATCAGAATATTTATTAGAGTATAAACTAGCGTCCGTCACAAATGCTCGAACTCTCAAGGTGAATCTTCAAGGTGGGAATCTGCATGCACATACCGCGAATTGCTTGCATTGGCCCTGTGCCTTCGGCAACATTACTGATCATCTTCCCACGGGCACACGAGCATAGCTAAGGTAGTACTGCCTTTATTCAGTGCACATGTAACAATGTCTCATTAACAGATACGAAAAAACAATGACCCTCGTTGGCGGTCGTTCTGGGTTGGCTTGTGGAATGGTGTAGCGCGCGCGATCACACGACCGGCGGAACCCCGACGAACAGCGGTGACCCAGTGGCCAGAGATTCCCCGGGGAAGTAACAAACAAGCCGACGCCAGGGCAGATCAGGCGATCTTCACCTGACCCCTCTCATGATGAAATCACATTGATTGGCTTGGAGCCGACCACGAAGACCAAAATTTAGTCTCATAACAGACCTCCACTGGCGATCAGATTTGAGCTCCTACGTTCTACCTTCAGAGATCAACGCGGCCCTGGTTGAAGAGTCTCTCGATGAAGACAGGAGGGGCAGAGTTGGGGTTGCCATCACCGATATGATAATCCTACACAACGCTAGTCATGGGATGGGCCTCATCGCATACAACATCATTGCACAACATGAATCGGCGCTTTGGTCCCAGGCTCCACTCCATACCCAAAACGATCAGCCCAATTTCAAGAGATCGTACGGCAGCTGCAGCAAACGAGAACTAGGTATGCAAATAAATGAACAAAGGCAAAACATTTGTGTAGCACAAAAGTTGACATTATGAATGCAAACGCACGATAATATAACTATAGCCACCGAGGAGTGGTTGCGATAAATTTACAGGCAGTTTGCGTGTGATGAAAACGCTGAGGGATATTGAACTTGGGCGGATATTTTAACAAGTCACATCACGAATATATACGAGCATGGCCAACAACCAACACATGGACAAAAGTGGTAGTGCGACACCAGTTACACCAGTGTCCGATCACAAGGCCTGGTAGCACAACAAAGCCATAATTTTATGCTGCAATCAGAAAATATCACCAAACCCAGAAAATGGGAGAACATGGAATGGAAACCCAGCCTGCGATAGGACACAGCTGATATGCTGTGGAATGGTCCGTACCTTTATCCGTTGCCTCGCGACCCGTTCGCAACGCAGCATTTACGTTCAACGACGTTTCAGAGTAAAACACTTTACAATGCCGCCTGTTTTAGTATTGACGCTTTTGCTACTTCATAAGCGTTTATGCGCCATTCTGTCCTGGAACCTACACGGACTCGGTCTTCAGCGCAGATCTAGAGAGCATTATCGGGAACAAACTCAGACGATGCATACCAGCAAAAGTGCTACCAGTTCACATGCCAAAAATAACAAAGGCACTGCTATGAACATGTGCCCATGGCTGCATTACAAGCCACGAACCGAACACAATAAGGCCACACCAAAGGTCGGCTGAACCACCGCATGATCACAGACAACTGAAGTCACTTCATTACAAGGATCCCGAACTCAAGGAGAGCACGGACCGTCACGATCAATGCATGTAGGACGGAGCTCGCGACACCATCACCAACTTCACCAGGCCCAGGTGGCCGCCGAGTATGGCAGCCAGCCTTCAACCCCGGCACCGACTTCACCAGGCCCAGGTGGCCGCCGGTATGGCAGCCAGCCTTAAACCCCGGCCGATTCACCAGGCCCAGGTGGCCGCCGAGTATGGCAGCCAGCCTTCAAACCCCGGCACCGACTTCACCAGGCCCAGGTGGCCGCCGAGTATGGCAGCCAGCCTTCAAACCCCGGCACCGACTTCACCAGGCCCAGGTGGCCGCCGAGTATGCAGCCAGCCTTCAAACCCCGGCACCGATTCACCAGGCCCAGGTGGCCGCCGAGCTATGGCAGCCAGCCTTCAAACCCGGCACCGACTTCACCAGGCCCAGGTGGCCGCCGAGTATGGCAGCCAGCCTTCAAACCCCGGCACCGACTTCACCAGGCCCAGGTGGCGCCCGCCTTACCCCCGGCACCGACCGGCCGCAGTATGGCAGCCAGCCTTCAAACCCCGGCACCGACTTCACCAGGCCAGGCGGCCGCCGAGTTGCCGAAGCCAACCTTCAAAACCCCGGCACCCGTCTTCACCAGCCGCGCCGCCAGCGTCGCCGGCGCCGCCTCAGTCCCGTCATCACAGCTCCGGGGGTGAACGAAGTCGAACTGCTGCGAAGGCGCGCCCGAGCAGGGGACCACCGCCAGCAGGTGCATCGCCTCTATGCCGTCCCCGTCCGACAGAGGTTGGACGAGAGGTGTTGCAGCTGGCCGCTCTGTCGACAGACGGCGGGTTGGACGGGGTTAGCGAACGCCGCGGTGTTTGGCCGCTCTGTCCACAGAGGGAGAGCCGGGCGGGGTTAGCGAAGACCGTGGGCGTCTGGCCGCTCTGTGGACCGAAGGAGGGCCGGCGGGGTTAACGAAGACCGTAGTGCCTGGCCGCTCTGTGGACCGAGAGAGGGCCGGGCAGGGTTAGCGAAGACCGTAGTGCCTGGCCGCTCTGTGGACCGAGAGAGGGCCGGCGGGGTTAACGAAGACCGTGGTGCCTGGCCGCTCTGTGGACCGAGAGAGGGCCGGGCAGGGTTAGCGAAGACCGTGGTGCCTGGCCGCTCTGTGGACCGGAGGAGGGCCGGCGGGGTTAGCGAAGACCGTGGTGCCTGGCCGCTCTGTGGACCGAGAGGGCCGGGCAGGGTTAGCGAAGACCGTGGTGCCTGGCCGCTCTGTGGACCGAAGGAGGGCCGGGTAGGGTTAACGAAGACCGTGGCGTCTGGCCGCTCTGTGGACCGAAGGAGGGCCGGGCGGGGTTAACGAAGACCATGGTGCCTGGCCGCGCTGTGGACCGAGGGAGGGCCGGGCGAGGTCAGGAAAAGCCGCGGTGTCCGGCAACTTTGTGGGCAGACCGGCGACTGTGGCATCTCGTTCAAAACTTCAGTGTCATTGGAATACACAGCAAAGCTACACTTTGGTGAAGGACTTCCAAACGAAAACGTGCCAATTCAGTGTCAAACAAATATGCCGAAATGGCTGATAGTGGTTAAGGGTAATGTTTCCCATCTGAATGTATTGGAGCAAGCATCGACACCTGGGGAAGAAGACTTATAAGACACGATCGTGTTGTGCTCTCAAGTGTCAAGACCGTATTCCAAGACAATATAATTGTCCTATTTAGTTCATGCAACACTCGATGCATCAAACGTTTCATCACGTAGTGGGAACATCCTTATGACGTCTGTTCGCGCCAGGACTGACCGTGTCAGAATTGCCACTGTAACAGACGGGCCGACTCCACATGTAGCACTTCAATCTCCAGGAAGGTGATCTCTAGCACGTGGCGGGATGCGGAAGGCGTTACTGGACCAAATATCGCCGTGTGTCCTATTCGGTCCCTTTCTCGTGATGTCTCACATATTTGCCCGTGATTTTACACTGTTACCTTATATTCACATCATCGATTAAGGTGCTATTCTTTGGTCGTTCGATTCCCTATCAATTTCTGTAAAAGTTCGTACCAATATTTCACTTCCTGTATCATTCGATACAAAGTGTGAGCCGTGTTCGATCACTCCGCCCCTCTCATCCTTCCTCTCGCCTCAACCCTTATCCTCGCGACCCCGTTTGTCCGGGACAGTTGCATGCGCCCGGAACGAGTAAGCCAAGAGGCTTCCTAATGGGGACCCTCGTACGTACGCCAGGCACGTGCCGCACAGAGGAGTCTCTGTGCGGGCTTTGGCCTTGAGTACCACATGGCCAATGGGCGGGAAGCATTCGCGTGACATTCCTATGGGATAATGCATGCCGGGTGGCATTGAAACAGTCCGCACAGTTTTAAGAGCGTCTAGCTCAGAAACCAGATGCTTTCAAATCTTAAAAAGGCCAGGGCTTTGAAGTGCGTTGAGTGATCTTTAAAACAGCCATTCCCGTTGAAACTCCACACAAATTTGGAACAATCTCTGTCATCCAACCGTCAGTCGTTATGAATATGATATATAACAATCATTTATCGTGGTAAGGCTGATCGAGACGTTCAAAATAATAAGCATCAACTTCAAGAGTGTGCCAACTTGTTTGTACTTTTCACTTATTGTACGATCAAACGCACACGCTTTAATAAAATAACCGGTTTTGTCGAAATCCTTCTAGAACATTCGAACCTGCATTTTAAAGTAGCCGCTCCTGCGGGGAAAATATAATTGCACTTCGTGCCCACCACTATGAAAAGTAATGCATTTCATTTGCCATGCTTTTTCCACGTGAGTGTTCTGTAATGTTTGCAACACGCTAATTCGTCAAAATATTGTGTGACAAATGCTACGAAAGCTTAAAACATTCTGTTTACATAAAGGTATGCGAACATGAAGCTTTTTTCTCGCGAATGCAACAAAACGTTTCACTACGTCTTTGGTTTCTCCCTGTGGCGTTTACCACCGCGACTCTCTTCGAGGCCCACTTTGCCTTTGGGAATGGGGGCATCACATGGTCCACAGTACTCCATTGGTTCAAATTTCAACCAATGCATTTCTTGTTCTCCCATTTTCAACCAATGCCGCTTCTGCGAGAGAAAATGTATATATGCGACAATAAATAAGCAAGATTGATATCCTTGTTATGTGTAGACGGCGCTGTAGTCGCGCTACCCAGTGCCACGTTAGACGTAACTGGTCACGACGTTTCACCAGATTTTGTTCTTGAAATATGCGCCAACTGTGGGGCATTCCCTTCAGGCTTGGAAAGCTCCGCTTTGTTGACGCTCCAGCGGGGGTTGAAATGAGGACTAGATAATCCAAGCGTATTTAAGTATGGTGGGGGAACGATGAGGGCAGACGAAAGTCAAAGATCGAGAGCAGGAAAGGTGATGTTGGCGTGCGTGTGTTAGTGTTTGATCACTGAGAAAGACAAGACCGTGTGCAGTTAAAAGCCAGCCGATGAGGTGTTCTCGGGGACTCGTGCTAGTGCATCTCCAGGCTTGGTGATGAGCGTTTAAGTCACCTAGGATCATACAGGGAGCTTATTTCTTGTTGAAAAAGAGTTGGAAGTGTGGCCCTCGTTTGAGTTAAAGAGACGTTCACCAGAACCAAGAGCCAAGGGAATTGCATCTGTTGGTTGTTCAGCAGCCTCTTCAAAATGGGTCATAGTCCCAGATCTTGAAATGAATAAAATTCAACAGTTTCACTTAAGGTTAGTTTATAAAAAACACGTGCAGAAATAACTGTTTGCAGACTTGGAGATTATTGTGGTAACCCTCATATTATGAGGCTTAGTGTGAGCACCTTGGAACCGATTGCAATGCCTTTTTATGTTAGTTATGGACCAAACATAATACAGAAGGGATGGATGTGATATCAGGTTTCTTACACCTTGTTCTTTTGGCCACTAACCAATTTCAGGGTTGGGTATGAGTACCTAGAATGAAAGATAAAGTTGGCGGGCCCATGCGGACTTCGGGCGGGGGGGGACACTTATCTTGCGGGGCGGGTGGGGGCTTTTAAATTTGGGTGCGGGGCGGATGCAGGCCATTCCAAATCAAAATAATTGGCAGCTTTAACGGGTAGGCACCGCATCAGGGCCCGTTCGATCTGCCGTCTGCACCACTGTTAGCTGGAACGCGCCACGTAATGCATGCTGACGGAGTGCCCGGTATGAGGGCTGACGGAAGTTTTTTTTTTAACTTAACCTTCCCTTTTTCTTTAACCTTTAATTACTCCAAACCTCACACTTACTCTGGCTTGTCGCCAACCACGCCACACTGCCCTTTTAAAATGGCGTATCGAGATGTGGCTTACGCTCCAGTATCACTCCCATCTATCCCATGCGTGAGCTGAGTGTTTCTTCCCAGTCCCGTCTCATTCAAATTTCTTCCCTTCCCATTTGACACGTTCGCGATTTTTTTGTAGGAAAGGACTAACGATCCTTCACTGCTAATTGTTCTGACATGGAGCCAATTCTCTAATTGAACTTGTATTGACTTGACACTTGTAATAGGAAAGCCCATGTTCGAGACACGGGGCGCTTCGTTCCTGTTCTCTTTTTCGTCCTATTTTTCGAACGATCTTTTACGGTTACTGTCATTGTCATTGTCATTGGGGCTTTACGACACACTCAGCTGCTGAGGCTATATATGGCGTCGCCTGCCTCTCACCCTGGCGGGAAGGGCGGGCAACGCAGGGAATCGAACCCCGCACCTCTGGTTTCCCAGACGCGCAGTGGTTAACGCAGACGCGTTACTTTTACGGTTACTCTAACGCTGTTCATTTTCTGGGGAACACAGTTACACACCAAACAAATCACCGTCAATCACTTTGTCATGGCTGGTCTTGAGAGCCCAGTTTCCTTTTTTATCTATCTTAAGTCGCATCCCCCAAATAGAGACAAGTGCCCTGACCCCACCTAACGAACTCGCAAACGCATGACCTACCAGAAAAACTCGCGCTTTCTTGTAAGAGCGCTTTATCTAATCTGGTAGCGCTATGTAATTCTACACCCAATCTCCATGCTGACGGACTGACAAAAATCCTGGTAGCGGCGCCAGCAGGAGCGTGACCTGACAGGCCACGTGACTGTGTTCACATGACGTGACGTAGGGAGGATACTGCGTCATGACTGGTGCTGACAAAGGTGCTGACGACAGATCAAATGCGGCCCAAAGGACGTCCATGCCCCAGCAGGACCCGAGGTTACGTAACCGTCCCACATTCTCGTTTTCAAGCAAGACTCCATACGTCGACTTTGCAAAAGCCCACCATCGCAGAGCAAACCGCAGGGGCAGAAGTCTCAGCAGCAGCCGCTGCAGCCATGTTTTATCTAGGCATCACTGCAGGATAGCTCTGCACTACTTTGGAGTCAGCGCGGTCATGCAAACACTCTCAGTGAGTGACGAAATTCTCAAGCCCGTGTAGCGAAGCGCAGTGGGCAGCACAGCCGCGCGCTCCCTCCCACCAGTTCCCTCTGAGCTCCAGCCCGGCAGCCGGCTTTTTATCGCTCCAAAGCCCAAGGTCGTTGGCCGAGGTTCACCCGATACTCAGACACGCCCAGAGGCGGTGTCGGCGTGCACCGGCTCTGGGGCGAGCGCGGCAGTGCAGAGCGCTACTGACGCGATCTCGTCAATGTCCAAAACTAGCCTGCAGCCACCTGTCTGCCACCCAGCATCCGACTCCGAGCGCACTGCCAGGCTGGTTCGCGGCGCCGCGCATTGCCTCCGGACACGGCCACCTCCGGCCTCCCCCGTCCGGTCCCTGAGCGCGCCTCTGCTCTCGCCCGACCGTCCGGACGGCGAAGGGGC